CCCATAAGCCCGTAGCTTTGGAAATTTATATTCATTAAATAAAAGTTTAAAAAAAAAAGTTAAAAAAAATGTCATAAGCACTTTGTAATTACAGAAGGGTCAATATTTCTCACTGAAAATTAAATGATTTTTTTTCTTATAGGAAGTTTGAAAATTTCTACATAGGCTGGGGCCATAAGTATAGTGTAGACAATTATACACCCCCAGTTCCACCGCCAGTTCATCTAGAGTACTCCAGTGGCCCAGAAGTTACAGAAATGGATGATCCCAGCGTGGAACAGGAGCAGGCTTTCAAAGCTGCACAAGAAGCAGCTGCACTTGCATCTGAAGAGAACGAAGAAACTGAGGAAGATGAGGATGAGGAAGATGACTATGACTAAGAATAGAACTGGCCTGACTGCAAACTGTGCGGGTTCTTGCTAATTTTCTCACGGTCTAATAGGCACTTCCTTTTTTGTTACTGCCATGTCAGTATCCCAGACATTACAGGCACCAGTTCCTATCCTGGCTGCTCCACTTCTGATCCAGCTCCCCCTAGTGGCCTGGGAAAAGCAGTAGAAAATGGCCGAAGTGTTTGGGCCCCAGCACCTATGTGGGAGACCCAGATGAAGCTCCTGGCTCCTGTCTTCAGCCTGGCACAGCACTGGCATTGTGGCCAGTTGAGGAGTGAGCCAGAAGATGAAAGACACCCCCTCTCTGTCTCTGTAACCTGATTTTCAAATAAATAAATTTTAAAAAGGATAGAAGACAGGGAGAGAGGGAGGGAGGGTGGGAAGGAGGAAGAAATGCCCTCTAGAGCATCTGAATTTTGGACATTCTACCATGGCTACTTATCACAATGTTCCTGCCATAAGTCAGACCATCTCTAGACTCCAGAATTGCCTTGGTTCAAGCCCAGTTCTCTAGTTACCCACAGGTTCTGAGAACTTCTGATAATATTTTAATGAACTCCCTTCTCCTTACATTGGCCCAAGTATAATTCCTGCTTGCAACAATGCACAGCATTGTCAATTAGAATCTAGATTCCTTCCTGCAGGACATATTAAACACAAGAGACTAAATCACAGTTGCATAGTTAGTATAAACATTTAACAAAAACAAATCCTTGCTTTTTAGAAATATGCCTGCTAAATAAATATAAAGGTAATTTCTAAGTAGTGAGGAGGGAATTTTTAAAAATATGTTCTCTAACAGAAACAGCCAAATATTAGAGTGGTAAGAGCTTGGAAGTGAGACAGCTTAGTTTCCCATCCTGGCTCACATTCACTGGGAGGGAGCAGTAACTAACCTTTCAGAGCTTCTGCTGCCTACTGGGGCTAATAACAGTGCTTGTCTCACAGAACTATTTTGAAGATTAAGCTAATTAATACACATAAAATACTAAAAGTACCTCCCATCAGTAAAGGCCTGGTACATAATTAGCTTATGACTATAATACAAAACCAGTTTATGAAACATGGAATAAAAAACAAACCCACAATGCAAACAAGAGATTTTATTGAAGGAATTACTAAACAGTGAAGTATTAAAGATATATTTTAATTAATCTAGGCAATTTAGAAATTAAATTATATTTAAATCCTTGGAGAATTCATAGATTTAATAGTTATATTAAGGAGTTCAATATTTGAATTTGAAGAACACGGTATAATTCCACAGTTGCTAAAATGCTTAATTCTTCAAGGAATCTTCTCTGCTGTAAAGACTTGAGAAGCTTGTCTCCTGGCCTTGAAAAGGAATTTCAAAAAACATTAATTGTCATCTAGAAGTCAATTAGTTAGAACGTTACCATCCTAACATTACCATTCTCATATAAAATATAAAATCTGGAACTATTTCAAAATAATGAAAATCTTAAAGGAAAATTATAGCCTCAAACACTTATAAAATTAGGAATAAACATCCTTAAAGTGAGTCATAAAGAAATTAAACAAAATTTTGGAAGTGGAGCAGCCGGGACTCAATCTGGTGCCTGTATGGGATGCTGACACCGTAGGCGGCAGCTTTACTTTCTACACCACATTGCCAGCCCCAGCTAATTTGCTTGAAGGTTCTGTGCTTATAGCCTTGTCTCACTCAGTCCCTCTTTATTTTTATCTATCTCCCTCTGACTTTGAGCCAGGATTCTTTACCTTGGCTCATTATTTCATTAAAAAGTGAAATTTCCCTTTTTAATTTAATCCTGTTGTCTTTTTCTGAAATTTATGCAATCTGTTAATGTGGTGTATCACATTGATTGTTTTGCACACATTAAACCATCCCTGCATACCAGAGATAAATCCCACTTGGTCTGGGTGGATGATCTTTCTGATGTGCTGTTGGATTCTATTGGCTAGAATTTGAGGATTCTTGTGTCTAAGTTCATCAGGGAAACTGGTCTGTAATTCACTTTCTTTGCTGCATCTTTTTCGGTTTTAGGAATTAAAGTGATGCTGGCTTTGTAGAAAGAATTTGGGAGAATTCCCTCCCTATCAATTATTTTGTATAGATTGAGAGAATATAGTTAGTTCTTCTTTCAATGTCTGGTAGAGGGGCTGGCGCTGTGGCGCAGTGGGTTAATGCCCTGGCCTGAGGCACTGGCATTCCATATGGGTGCGGTTTCGAGACCCAGCTGCTCCACTTCCAATCCAGCTCTCTGCTATGGCCTGGGAAAGCAGTAGAAGATGGCCCAAGTGGTTGGGCCCCTACACCCCGTGGGAGACCCAGAAGCTCCTGCCTTCGGATTGGCATAACTCCAGCCGTTGCAGCCCATTGGGGAGTGAACCAGTGGATGGAAGACATCTCTCTCTCTCTCTGCGCCTCTCTTTCTCTCTCTGTGTAATTCTTTCAAATAAATAAATAAATCTTAAAAAAAAAAAAATTAGCTGCCTCATTACAGTCTGAAAATGTCACTTCAAAAAAGTTTTTAATGCTGTGCTTTTTTTTTTGCAACCTGAGTTGCAAATCAAGGCAAGTCAAACTAAGTTAAAACAAGGTAAGTTAAATCAAGTTGAAAGCATAAACAGCAGAATGGAAAACTAAGAATGAGTCAGGTAGTTTAACCATGGCCAGTCATAACAGGAAAACAAATTCAGGGCATGGGTATAACACAGACTTGTATTTATTATTTAATTGAAGTACATTAGGATATAATGTTTAAAACAAACCCCTTCACCAAAACAGGTCCTCCAACATCTAGACTAGGGTCTGGAATTGGTAGAAACTCAAAATATATTTATGACAGAATTGTCATATGGCAATTAAAAGACAACTGTCAGGATAAGCTTTTTTATCTTTGAAAATCAACCTCTCTCTCTTTAAAGATTTATTTATTTATTTGAGCAGCAGAGTTACAGAAAGAAACCCAGAGATTTTCCATCCGTCAGTTCACTCCCCAATGTCAGCCAACAGCTAAGGCTGGGTCAGGCCAAAACCAGGGACAGGAACTTCCTCTGGGTCTCCCATGTGGGTGCAGGGGCCCAAGGACTCAGGCCATCCTCTCCTGCTTTCCCAGGTACATTAGCAGGGAGCTGGATTGGAGGTGGAGCAGCTGAGACTCGAACCAGCACCCACGTGGGATTGTCGGCACTGCAGGCCACGGCTTTAACCCACTGAGCCATAGAGCCAGCCGCAACCATTCTCTTTAAAAATTATTGCATTCAACATGGCTGGAAATGGAGGTCATTATATTAAGTGAAATAAGCCAACCACATGATCTCACATGTGGAATCCAGAATATAGGTGATCTCATAGAAATTAAAAAATGTAATGGTATTAGGGATGGTATTGTGGTGCAGCCAAGTTAAGCTGCCTCTTGTAATGCTGGAATCCCACAATGGAGTGCCAGTTCCAGTCCCTGGGGCTCCACTTCTGACTCAGATCCCTGCCAACGCTGCTGGGAAAGCAGCGGAAGAAGGCCCAAGCCATTGGGATAGAATTTCAGGCTCCAACCTAGGCTGTTGTGATCATTTGGGGAGTAGACCAGAAAATGAAAGAGTTTTTTCTCACTCTGTCTCTCCCTCTTTCACTGTCACTTTTTTTCACTATAAAAATATTAAGTGCTTGAAAGATGTATTTACCTGATTGAACAATGCACATGTTGGCCGGTGCCGCGGCTCAATAGGCTAATCCTCCACCTAGCGGTGCCGGCACACCAGGTTCTAGTCCCGGTCGGGGCGTCAGATTCTGTCCCGGTTGCCCCTCTTCCAGGCCAGCTCTCTGCTGTGGCCTGGGAAGGCAGTGAAGGATGGCCCATGTGCTTGGGCCCTGCACCCCGTGGGAGACCAGGAAAAGCACCTGGCTCCTGCCTTTGGATCAGCGCAGCGCGCCAGCCGCAGCGCGCCAGCCATGGTGGCCATTGGAGGGTGAACCAATGGCAAAAGGAAGACCTTTCTCTCTGTCTCTCTCTCTCACTACCAACTCCGGCGTGTCTGAAAAAAAAAAAAAAAAAGACGAATATTGATACCCAAAAATTTTTGGCTGTCCCATGCATAATATGGAAATAAAAAACACTAAGGTGCCACAAGATGTGTATACTTTATAAAAAGTCATATTATTGAAAAAAAGTTGCATGTTTTTTTGTTTGTTTTTTTTTTTTTTTTTTGCCAGGACAGGAGCAGTGGGCCAGGAAAAGAGATGAAAAAAAAAAAGAAAGTCTTTCTTTGGCTGTTGTGTCACCCTCTAAATGACCTTGAGGTCAGGATGCGGAGACAAGCCTTTCCCGTTGATCTGAGACCGAGGGATTTCCCTAAGTCCCACATGGGTGCAGCGTCCAAGGACTTGGGCCATTCTCCACTGCACTCCTGGGCCGTAGCAGAGAGCTGGCCTGGAAGAGGGGCAACCGGGACAGAATCCGACGCCCTGACCGGGACTAGAACCCAGTGTGCTGGCGCCGCAAGGTGGAGGATTAGCCTAGTGAGCCGCGGCGCCAGCCAAAAAAACGTTGCATGATTTTTAAAATCAGCTATTTTTAAAATATCAGAACTAATCGTAAGTCCACATAGGAAGAACACAACATTAGATGCAATTTTAAACATATATATTTTGGGATACTGTAAAACATTGAATTTGTTTTGGAATCCTATAATTAAACTGCATTTATTGCTTAGAAGAAAATAAACATTCAATAAATGATCCATAAAAACTAATATAAAATAAATGTAAAATCATTTTTTCTTATTTAAAGCTTTAAATTTCCATCTGATGACCTGAAAGTCAATTTGTACATTAATATTTACTGAATTCCTTCAATATATAAAGTACTATTTAAAGAACAGTATATATAATATACATATATATATATGAAAGC